TCCTTGAGTATCCCAACGGAACGAGGCGTCCAAAAATGTGTGACCACCATAAAAATCTTGGAGCTGAGCACGCGGGTGCTTATCCCCAGTCCAGCTATCGGGGCGCAGGGAAATTTTTTTCGGGACTCGCGAAGCGCAGGGATGCGCTGTTGTGTCTGTACCACGGAAGTGTCCTTGCAAATGATAGAACGATAGGGGGTATCCCCTGGAAACGAGGAAGGAGACTCTTGAAAAATGTGCGTTCGTGTCTTGTGGGCAGCGGATAGGTGGAACGGCGAGAAAATCAAACGTTAAAAGTTGCTTTTAGAGGTTATGGTAGCTTCTAGTAGCCGGAGGACAATTTTTCTAGCTGTAATGTTCATCGAATTTTATTTCATTCCAAATATGTATAATATTTTACGATTAATGGAGTTAAAGAAAATTTTTGAAAATTTATATTTAGAGGAATAATTTTTAAAAACTAAAACAAGTTCTTTAGGAAATACAGTAATCTCCAGGACTTACCGTAACCGTTCGGATTTTATCGTAATAAACAAAATCGAAATATCTACAGTAACTTACCATAGTCGACGCCATAACTAGTTTTTCTGCATTTATAGTTTCCTATCGAATAAGCGCTAAAAATTATCGTATTAAATTTTGAGGATAATACTGTAAAACCACTAAAATTATCATTATCCAAATTCGTATTCTACGGTAAAATCGCTAAAAAACTCAGATACTAAATTACATCGATAAAATAAGGTAAAAAGTGATTCTATAAAACCTACAGTAACCCCTCATTTCCTACAGTATCCAATCTCACTTTTTTTTTCAGTGACCTCTTCACCCGCTTCGGCCTGGGCCCGCTCTGGATCCTGAACCTCGTGCTCGCCGCCGGTGTGCTCGTCATTTCCCTTCTCTATTTCCGACGGTTCCGATAGATCTCGGATCGAAAACCCCCTTCATATGGAAATTTGGCAACTTGCCAATTCCCCCCCCCCCGCCCCCCGACCTGAGCTTGTAGTTTGAGCCCCAGCTTTTGAGCCCCAATTTCCTGTTGTATTCGATCAGGTTCCGTCCCTCTATTCTAGTCGCAGCCTGTTTTGCTAGGTTTGTGTGGTTTTAAAGGGTTGGTGAAGGGCGTGGAGTTGGATCGTTTTGAATGGATTAGCTTTTACTCGAAATCGTAACATAGGATTTTAAAGGGACGTTCAAGGCAAGGAGTTTTGTCGGTGTTTTTTGCCCTAAAATCAAGTTTAAAGGGCCATTAAAGACGGGGCCGATAGGGATTTAAATGATTTGATTATGATTTTGGCCGTTCTTCTTTAAATTTTGAAAAATCATAATTGTTAACGACAAGCAGGGTAAATGCAAATTCGAATTTTTTAAATGGCATTTTTTAAGCTACAAAGAATCTTTTGATCCTCCACCGCCCTGTCACCACCCATTTAAAACCATCCTATACTTCCCCCAACCCTACCCGCCAGCATTTAAAGGGCACCTCAAGGCAATGTCGGCATTTGTAGCTTGTAGTTGTAGTACCAAAACCGTAGCCCCGCAATTCCGGGTCAACCCTGTGATTCCTCCCGTGACCGTACATTTGCGCCTCCCCCCTCCCCCCTCCCTGGATGACCGTACACTCGCGTACCCCGAAAATTGATATTGGGCTACCCTTGTTTTTCTGCAGCCCTAACCGTTTTACCCGATATCCCCTGGGTGCTGCTGTGCTAAGGAAGTTGCAAAAAACAAGGAATTTCTTATGCACCCCGAATTTTTGCATTCTGCAGTTTGAGGGCGTCATAATTTTGGGGTGCCAAAGGTTGCTCGTCCCTTTAAACCTAAAAAAATTTGCTTCCCCGTTCATTTAAAATCCGCTTTAAATTCGAACATAATTTTCCAAAGTCCATGTTTCTTTCCGATCATTTGGTATCAGTATGTAGATGTTGAGTTTGTTGAAAATTCATTTTGTCGAAGTATCTTTTTCCTAAATCACATTTTGTAGAAATTTTATCAATTTGCGCAATTTTTAAATGATAATCGAGGCGCAAAAGGCATTAAAGTTTCGAAAATTGTCAAATCGACAAAACGAATTCAACAAAAATATTTTCGACAAAATGGCTTTTGGCAAACATATGTTTTGGTAGAACCAAAATACTCTTTCCGACTACGCATTTATTCAATGCGCACGTTGTACGTATTATGCAAATTATAACATGACCCCCTTCCTACGTGATATTGTGATTGTTTTGTTGGGAACTGTATATATTTTTTCTCTCGTTTCCGTGCTGCGTGGGTGTTGGTGGCGCATTTGGCGAATGGCCAGTCATCGCCAACCCCATTGGTTCATTCCCCGAATGCGCGAAACCTTCGATAAATTGATCCTGCAAATCGGGGTGAACTTTTAAACCGGATTCGCCTGGTAATGGGACCGGATCAACCGACGCCGGTTTTCTGGGTTTTCGCAAAATTCACGCTCAAATATTGGGATGAGAGGGGATTTGAGGGAAATGGGGGTGGGGTAATCCGGAAGAATAGAGGGGAGAGACCGACAAAAAAATCATTGGGATTTACGGCAGAAAAAAATGGTCTTGATGACTGGGAAAAAGACGCATATACACGCACAAAGAAATAGCACTAGATCTTCTCTTTCTCCCCTTTCCCCCTCTCTCTCTCTCTCTCTCTCTCTCTTTCTCGCACTCTCTCTCTTTGTCTCTCGCTATCTCTCTCGCTCTCTGTCTCTCTTTTGATAAGAAATGGATACGGATACGCCCATAAAAATGCCGGATCTCCGGGTTTGATATCCAAAGTACCTGCGGGGGCACCGTGATATGTTTTGATCCTCTCCTCCACACGCATGAAAAAAGATAGATAAAATTTCAAAAATAGGGAACTTAGTGGTTCTCAGGTTCTGTGGGTAATGTTGTTTATAATGTGGTGTTGCCTAAAAATATAGGCTTATTTTTAGCCATACGGCTTGTGGATTGGACGAAAGTGACTCCTTCTACTGATCAAAAAAGCATTACCTAAAAATTATCTGATCGGGATCAAACAACCTAAACCACTGAATGCTAATTTTATTGATTCTAAGATGCTAGGATTCAGCATTTCAAAAAAATCGGACAATTGTACTGTATATGCAAAATTTATCTACATTACAAAAACACTATCGTTAAAGTTTTTATTTTTTAATTTTCAAAAATGAAGAGTTATTTACGCTTTATACTTACGCTAAATACCAAAACATCGCATTTAACACAAGGATAAAGCATCAGAGTTACCCGATTTATGCCAATTAGGCCAGCATAAAAAGCTAGTGAAACGGGTTTGCAGAGCTAGTTTTGGACACTGAGGCAGCTTACTTTATGCAAATTGGGTGACGTTCGAAAAACCCCCCAGTTATTTTATGCATTACGTGTTCTTTCGGCATATGCATATTAAACCTCTAAATCATCTTAACCGTCGAGGGTTTAACATGATTCTTCCGCAATGGCGATCCCGATTTTAAACCCTATGTTTTTGCATTAATTTAATGGGGGGATAGGGGCCAGACAGGTTCTCGGGGGGCCGGTGGAAATGACGGTGTTATGGGTTTCCGGCTGGGGGTTTGAGGAGGGGGAGAAGGGAAGGAAGAAGAAGACGTGCTCATCTTCCTGTCTATTCCATCCACAGCGGATTGGCCCATCGATTCCGGCGGCTCCTGACCGGATTATAAAGGGGGTTGTCGACACCGGTTGGGGTTGGCTGGAGGGGCCCAATCCTTTTCGGGGGCCCAACTAGCACACCTGACCACTTTGTATCACTCATCCTCCCTTAAAGGTTTTTACTAAACTAATTCTTCAGTGATAAATTGCTTTGTATGGAGAAAAACACCTGCCTGGCCATTCCGCCAGTCGCCCCAGAGCCAGTAGCTAGCAATAAATCGTTCGAATATGCAAATACCTGACCACCTCGTACCACTCATTAAGAAATTTTAAAATTCTAATTTTCACGTAAAAATTGGGGTTTTCAAAGAGAAAAACAGCCTTCTGACTTGTGCATTAATGACCAAAAATCCTGTATCAAGTCTGTCGCATAACACGGCTAGCGACTATTTTTATTAGAATTTTTTACGAGCACGTTGAGCACACAGCTTTGCTGAAAAATTAAATTACTAAAATGCAGTTTCTATATTACATCTTTTTCCATAGACCGAAAAAGAAACCCGGATGCTACATGCGTTAATAAAAAATGCCATTAAAAAATCCATAAATTATTTGTAAAACCCTAGTAACACTTTTCCCTTTTTGTTTGTTGACAAGATAATTTAAATAAGCGACTGCTTTTAAGGTCTTGTATCCATCTAGGTTAGATTTTTCTTTTTTGATGTGTTATAAAAAATTCGTATTGCCATTCTGCCCCTCATACTTCCTTTATGTATTCTGCAAACTCTTCAAAACCAGGGATCACGTTTCTCTCTCCCTCCCTCCCTCACTCTCTCTCTCTCCACTCTCAACAAAACCCATTTTGCTATTCGTCTCCGCGCAGGCGCCAACGGGGGCTAACTGCCGTATAACCCCCTCCATCGAGACCTCGGGGTGTGGCAATGTGAGATGTGATTGCGTAAATTACCTTCCCCTGAATCCACTTATCCGCTCCGAAACGAGTCGCCCCCCCGCTACACTAATTCTCGACGTCTTCTCGGTGGCCCCCAAATCGGGACTGCAGGTTTTTGAGGTGTCGGGCCAAGCCGGCAGTTTTTTGCGGGGTCATTGGTCATTTTTGCGAGGTCATCGGGGTCATTTGGTCATTTTCTTGTTGTTTTAGGATCATCGTAAGGAATGCCTTCATTTAATGCACCAACCACATTGCAAACTCTTAAAAGTTTCCTTTCCCAATCAACCCATTCTATTCTCGGCTAATCACCGGAAATTCGCGCCCTTCCGGCTTCTCTCCCCTACCTTTGCAGCTCAAAAACTTTCCAGGCATCCCTTCCCTCCGGCAGGCCATGCGCGGTAGATCCGCGCGGACCGGCTGAGCCCATGCGCATCTTGGCCGCCTTCTTCGGCGTCATCTTTATGTTCATCAACCCGGCGATGTTCACGAATGGTTGGTTTTTTTTGGTTTCTAATGTCGGTATAATTAATGAAGCTGAAAATTCGAGGTGAGGCTTAGGTAGAGTGTTAGGCTTAAGCCTAGGCTTAGGTTTAGGTTTAACCGTAGGCTCGGGCTGAGGCTTGGGCTTAGCCTTGTGCTTGGGCTTGGGCTTAGGATTCGACTTAAGCTTGGGCTTAGGCTCAGCTTAGCTTACGATGGCTTCGTATAGTCCAAAAAATCAGACTGAAAAATATATTCTGGGGAGCATAACCTGTTAGCATTATAAATCGCTAAGAAATAGGCAAGGCATCGATTTTTCAATCTAAATTTCCATTTTTGGCCAAAATTTCGTGTTTCACAATTATTCTCGGTGTTGTTTTTTGAATAGCTATTTCAAACGTATCTATATTTTGATAGATCTTGTTAAATCTGCCTTTTAAACTAATCTCCAATCTTTAAAAAACGTGATTTTGTAAAAATCGGGCATCCAAGCAATTTTGAAGTATCTTGTAACCACGTAAATTCCATAAAATTTCCATTTTCCAGTCCGACGCGAGCTAACCGCCGCCTTCAACGATGCCAACAACTTTGAAATGTTTGTCATCAAAGCACTACGGTAAGGCACTTCCGTGCGAGACCCTAAAATCCCACAATTCCAGCATCACCGTTGTTGACTGGCTGGCCGTCAATACGCATCTAGACCGTGCAGCCCCCTTCATCGGTAAGCCCCCCGCATTTCTGGGCTTTTACGAAAATCCACAAAGATTATACGCAAAGCCTTTTTTCCCGAAGTTGATGACGGATCAGTGTCATTTCGTGACATGATTTTGAGAGCTTTTGATTCTCAGCCTTGTATTAAACCTCAAAACAAAACAAAGCCGTGATCTTTTTCTTTTTGAGACTACATATCGTTAGATTTTTCTTTTTTTTTGTGGATCGGGCGACCTTTCCGGGAAGACTCGGCTGTAGCCTAGGGGGTACAGAAAATCGCCTGGATTAGAAGCCTTTTGGCGGTGAAAAAAGATTGATGTAGATGATTAGTATACTTTTGAGTGAAAATTTAATAGAATCGGTATGATTTTTTTTATGCAAAGGTTTGAATTCTTCGTTTTTAGGGCTATTTTAAACCCCAAAAAAATATTCTTATAAATATAAACAATACTATATAGGAAAAATAACTAAAATACAGAAAAGATGTGTTACGATGGTAAATTCGCGTAAAATATATTGCTATATCACTTTCCCAGCCCCTTTAAAATCCGCTTTCCAGTCCTTACCGGTGTCGTGCTGCATCTAATTATCACCGGCGTTTCCCTATATGGAATCTACTCGTGCCGACCGGCATTTGTACGCCCTCTACTTGTTGACGCCGGGGTATCGACTTGCGTACTCTTTGCATTCGTCTCCCTGTCGCTCTACCTCCACACTAATAGCCATTCTCAAGTAAATTTTTGGGCATTTGTATAATTTTATTCAAAAAAATGGACCACTAATATATTTTTTTTAGTTAAAAGACCACCACGAAAAGAATGCGTACATTGGAGCAGCATTTTTGCTGACGTATTTTGTATGGTTTAGCATCACGATGGGTAAGTTTGTTTTAAATTGAAGGAGAAGGAAATAGAAAATAGTAAGATATCTCCCCAGTGACGATTCATTTCCAGCCGGCTATTTCGACGTTCGCCGTCTGCATGCCGACTTCATGTATTGGATCGTGGAGGAGCGGGCGAGTATGAGGAGGATGAGCTTGCCGCATCAAGTTTCGGTGGAAAATCGGTGAGTGGGATGGCTAGCGGGAATTCTTGGGGAATCTAATCAGGCGGACGGGAGAAGAACGTCTAGTAAACCTCGCCTAGAAAATAAATGGAACAATTCCAGAAGTCGTGCGTATATCAACCCATTCAGCTATTTATTTTGGGTTACTTTTAACATGTCGATAATTAAAAGGCAAAGCTAGCGGGAAAACTCCAAAACCTATGTAAAAAAATTGACATAAAAAGTTTGAAATTATGACATTTCGCCACGCTGTAATTTCGACATTATGATTTTCAGCATTATGATACCAGATCGTTCATTTTTACAATTTTACAGATCCGATCGTTCCTCCAAATCCTCAAAAGGCTCAAAACGTTCTCACCGATCCGAACGCGACGAAGGCAGTCGCCCGAATTCAGTGGCCGGCTCGATTCGAAGCAAGGCTTCACACAGAAGCATCTCGGCCAGAACCCGCCTATCCGTGCCTCTATAGCCGATCTCTTCCCCCTGAAAACAATCTCTAACGGGTCTTACTGTGATTTCCGAATTATTTACTTACGAAATGTCGTAGTTTGTCGTATTCCAATGTACTTTGTGGATTTAGTTTTGTATTTATGATGTATGTTGACCTTAATTTTGCTCAATAAAAGGTTTTGTTACAAAATTAAATAGGCGTTTGGCTTTGAAAATTTGAAAGAAAGACTGTTAATTTCCATAAATCTCATGCTCCCGGCTTTCCCCATGCGGAAGCCACCCAAGTTGGCCTTCAGCTGAAGCCCTCTCATTCTCCAACAGACTATTTGCATAAGGAGCAAGAGCTTTGGGGGAAGAATGGCTGCTATGCCCTTTCCGCTTTCCTCCTTTGCTTATTTGTCGACGAGCTGGTAGACGGTGGCTACTAGTTTTCATCGTACTGTTTCAAGTATCCACTCGGAATCCCCCGTGTCCACGCCCCGTTGGCGCCCTAAAAAACCGTCATTTCGAAGGCGCGGCTAGGTGGCTAGGCGATGATGGGTCGTTGGCATCTGCTGATTTTGGGACTATCGGCTAATATTGGGCTATTGGAAGCGGTTGGTTTTTCAGGTTACTGTCTATTAGGTTTTGCTGTTCTTCGTGTTTTTGCCCATGGAGTTTTTAGGTATTAAAGGGGCCGGCAGGCGCTAGAATATTTGCCTTATTAATTTTCCTCACTAAGGATTTTAATTGGTGGTTTTTACCACCGGATGCCATGAAAATTTCAAATTTATGCAATATCGATATTTTAATTCCCCATTTCCGATTCAAAAACTTCCATCTTTTACGAAAACGAAACATTTTTGTCGTGCTGTCGAGAGCTTTCGAATGCTAAAACGACTTATCCGGATCCGAGCGTCTTCCGCATCTATCATCCGTATTCATGCCACCAACGACGCAATACACCAAATCGCGTACTAAACTTGACTTTTCGCATGCCTAGTTAACGACACGGGTAGATTCTGACGCTTCCTTGTCCCTTTAAAACACTGTAAGCCATTTTAGTGCTTTTCCCTGGGCGGCTGTGGTTTCGGTGGTTGTCTCGGACTGCCCGCCATTTCCATCGGTTCATTTCCATCATGTGGGCGCTTCTGCCGACGCGCCAAAGGCTCCAAAACCCTCTCCGGCGAAGAAGTCCATTACCCTGAAGATGATATCCAAGAGGTATACCTTTGACTTCATTTTCAATTTGAATTCCGGGTTTAGGAGCCAGATGTGATGTTCCAAAAATGTTGCGCGGAGGCCAAGCTTCCTAAGGCTTGTATGGACAAATGCAGTTTCAGGACTTACACGAAGGATGCGGTAGGTGTTTCGGGATTTATTCTTTTAAAGGGAATTACTTTCTCATCAAACTCTAGATTTTTATGGGATAGGCAGCTTGCAGATTTTCAGGGGGAATACGTTAAAAAATTTGTACTTGTATGAATTTTAGCGTCTAAATTCTATTTTTAACGAAATCGTGGACTGCGAACTTTTCTGAATTAACATCTGTAGCTGAATGGATTTTGGCTTGTAAAGGGCTAGTGAGGCACATTTTTTAGATTTCAGCCAATTTTGCATGCCAAATTTTTTTAAATTTAGCTAACCGCAATGTTCTTCAAAACGGACACGTGCCCAATTGAGATGGCGGTTGATATTCATAGGTATGCATAGCAAATATATAATTTTTCCCTTCCAAAAATTTTAGATGCGCCGCTCAACTAAACGATCATCGTGAATGCTGCAAAAATCAGGGGGTCCAGACGACATTGGCTGGCGGGAAATGTCAGCTTTTTTGCGATCAGGTATTAACTAAAATTCATACCTAGATTCCTTGGCCACATTAATAATTATCGATTTCAAGCTTACGAATTTTGACATTCTCGCAAATTTAGCGTCCATCCCCCAATGTAACTCACCTCGACATGACATTCCTCCCCTGCCTCGAGCGTTTCGACAACATGAAAGCGTGTTTCTGGCACGATGCCAACAAACGCCATCTGGACTATCTAACAAAGCAAAAAGCTGGCCAGATTTCTCAGCAGAATGAGGAGATGGAGGTATAAATTATAAAAACCTTGATGTAAAAGCCTATATGTAAATTTTCAGGAATTCGAGGCCGCACCACCAAGCCAAAAGACTTTGGAGCTGACGGATTCAGAAGTGGAGGACGACCGCGATGAAGATTCGAGTATAAGAATTATCAATTGAATATTAACATCACAAATTCAAATATAAATTCAATTTTCTAAAATCATATATCTTTAGGTCATGAAACCCAGGATCCTGAAGACGATATTGACGTCCAGATCCGTCACTTGAACCGTGATGAAGCTGATGGTATCGAGATTCGACGATCCGGGTATGCACATTTAAGTTGTTGAAATTAGCATATTGATAATTATTTAAATTCAGCGTCAATTTAGATTCTTGTCACTTGCGTAATTTGAATTTTAAAGTTGCAACTTACTTATTCTAAAAAATCTAAATTCCGGATTTGCAAACATTTACATTTTTAGGAACCAAGAAGTCGAACCTGAATCCAAGCCCTGGTACATGTCCGAACAATGAATTTCACAAAACCTTGTAATATTTTTATTTAAGTGTTTAATTTTTATTCTATTTTGATTTGTATACATATTTGAATAGGCACCGGGAATAAATTATGATTAGTATATAGAGTAAGCGTTGTATTTTCAGCCAGGGTGAGGAGGAGGGGGTTAGTGGAAATTCGGGTGCTATCATTTATTTTGAGGAATTAAGGTTAAAAATCATACAAAAAGATATTGGTGTTAATGCTTTGAAATCACACTAAAAAATTTACACAACTATTAGCGAGCCTAGGATTCCGCCGGGTGCGGCCGAGATCTGGGGATATGGTATTTTGGTAGTCTGGCGGAACTTCAAGGGAACGACTGTGATGAAGGCGAATGTTCTAAAAATGGGTAAGTTATGGTGGATCAGAAAATCCATGGGGTGTTGGCTTCCATGGTCCGTTAAAACTCACTGGAACTTGGGTGGCTGAATCGTCATCATTTACATCTACGGAAATATTGGAATTTCCAGCCGAGAGAGTGGAGGCCGGTCTTAGGCTTTCACCGGAGCTTTCCTAAAATTACAAACAGATCATAATCTTAAAACAGATCATGAAAAAAAAGTATTATAGTGGTAATATTGTAAGAAATATAAGTTAGTAGCTCTTACCCTTGATCTCCCTCCACTCTCCAGATCGACGTCCGGATCGATGCGACGGGCCAGTCGTAGACTGCTTCGGTGTAGCTCTAGATTATAGATCGTAAAGCGTTAAACGTTCGAAAAGGTCTTTTTTCGACTATTCTATAATACCGAATATTAAAATATCGAATACGGGAAACCGGAATTCTAAAATCTCGAAAATCCATAAGCCCGAATTCGTATTCCAAGCTCCCGAATGGCATATTCGAGATCAAGGATTTTGGAATTCGGCATTTTAGAATTGGATTTCACAATAATAAATTATTTAAAGTTACCTGCAGATGTTCCTTGGCCCAAATAGAAGGGTGGGGCGCCGGGGGTGGTCTCCTTCATGGCGTCCTCATATTTTGGCGGGCAGCCGAGCAACGAGCGCGCATCCAGCTGCCACGGTTCTGAAAGGGATTTATATGCATTGTTATTTCTGATTTTGGGTTTGTTTTTAGGTATTTGCATTGCGCAATCGAGCGAAAATAGGCGTATTCGCGTTATCGCTTAATTTCTATCTCGCTCTCTTTCTCAGACTCTCGCGCTCGCTCTCTCGCTTCACTCTCTCTTTCGCTCTCTCTTTAGCTCTCTCTCTCTCTCTCATGCTGTCTTTCTCATCTTTCACGAGCTCGAGTTATCTCTCTCACTTTCTCTAGTTAACCTTAAAGGAAACCGCAAGAGGCCAGCAGCACAATACCTTATGGATTTGTCCTTCTCAGGCCCTTTAAGTTAAACTTAGATTGCATTAAGCCGATATCTTAATTTCTAAACAGCACCACGCTCTAACCATCCATTTAATCTAGACAATCAAAGGCCCGCTGGGGCCAGTTAGCCTCCCGTTCCCCCATCCCTCCATCCCATTCATACCCCCAGCACCCGCAAATTGCGTATTCTCATGCCGCCGAGGGGGATGAAGCACCGTTGGGTGAGGACTGGATATCCTCCCCTTCCCCCTCGCCCCATCTTCTATGCTAATTGGCAGCCGGGGCCAAATTAGGCCGTCAACGCGATCCGCATCCACATCCACTTCTAATGCTCTTTGAAAATGGACATTGTTCATGGAATGACATTTGGTTCAAAGGGTTCGTGAAGTCAGGAAACACTTTAGAAATAGGATAAAAAGTAAAAACCGTATAAAGAGATCAATGTTTTTGAACCCAATAAATTCGACAAATCTTTTCTTGCTGGCCCCTCAAAATTATTTTTCGTTGCTTCCGCGTTTCCACCCTTACGAATTCCCCAGGACAATGGGGCTAATGAAGGAATAGTACACTGTTTTTCTGAGAAAATCGCGGCAATTCATAAATTGCGCCTTGGGGAGCATGCATCACTTGAGGGATTTTGTTTCTGCAGTTGCACTCTTCTAATGGAAGTGGATTTGTAGGAACAGGCCCAAATCGTTAAAGGATCATTGAGGCGAAAGACGATGTTGCAAAATTTTGGCGCAGGATTGGCATTTTATCAACGCCTTAAGAGAATGAGAAGTATCGATTTCTATCCCTAGTTTTTCTAGGTGTCGACAGCTGAAGTTACAAAAGGTACGGTAATGAAAACACAGAAAAACTGTACTAAAGACTACAATTCCAACCATTAACCGTACAGAAAAACTTGTAAAATCCAGAAATGTCTTAAAATTTTAATTAGCTTGCTTACTGTATATTAGCTTTTTTAGCTTTGCGTAAAGGTCGACACCTAGCCAGGGGATGAGGTCGATTTTCGACTTCACGACCCCCTTGAAACAACCAATTTCATCCCCGGATTTCGCGCTCCAAATTTCGCAAGGCTGGCCCTCATCGGCCCTGAGTCATCTCAGGCAACGCCAGTAGTATTGGTGTGGAAACGAGAAAGCTATCCGAACGCCCCGACAGCTGACCGATGGAAAAACGGTGAGCTAATTGTCACCGCAGGCAAGGAACCAAGGGAGGGCGGCATTAATGGGCCGCTAGGGTCGAAAGAAGATGTTCTCAAGGAATGCTAAGGATGGGTTGTTACTAAATATATTTTTCCATTTAATTTATAAAACTTTTGTTAAAGCGGGCTCCCTTGAATTTTCCGTATAGTTCTGCCGTCTTGATTTACATTAAAAGCCACTTTTTTTCTGTCGCTGTCTCTTTAAAATCCATAAATCATGCTGACACAATCCCTTTAAGACCGCTTAAACGTACAAAAAATGATGATAGATCGTAACAAGGTTTTGAAGCGCTTTTTAAAGGTATCTATTCTTCACCATTAAACCTGAATTTATGCCTAAGCCCACCAGTTCCCAACAATTCACGCAGCCAGCGCCCGCTTTTCAGCTGCCTTGTCCTAGATTATGCAAATTAGGGGGCCCAGAGTGGGCTCATGGGGTGGATGGCCTTATGGGCCCCGGGGGCTACTCTTAATTAAGCCGTTCCACGACGTTCCACATGGCACTCAACCATTCTTGGGCGCGGGTTTTAGGGGAATTGCTAACGGATTTTGGATATATGTAGCTTTGATGTAACCTTAAGAGTATACGTTGTATAACCTTGTTTGCGCCGCTTTAAATTAGTCCTTTAGGTCTTTAAATGTATATTATTTAATGTATATTTGAATGTAAATATGCCAATTGTTTTTGATTGTTTTAATTGTTTTTTAGTGGCACTCGTTCAATTAAAAGTTATGTTTTTTTGAGAATCGTATGATCTTGTACAATTCCAAGTTATCAGCTCCCAAGCACTGGCTACTCATTCCGCCCCGCATCTCCAATTCCATAACTGAGATGTTTTTGGGGCCCCAGGGCAAGTCCGAATCCCCTTTTTTGGGCATGCCTTCTTCAGGACACACAAAGGCGTTCCCGGATGAAATCCTATCCGTTTCTAGTCGTCAAAATGGGGCGTCTTCCTCCTGGTCGTGGTGACGCTAGTGTTGGGATTCTAATTTCGGATGTTTGTTGCCATATTGCTGGGTTTTTACAATTTTTGGCGAAAGAGACGGAGAGAGAGAGAGAGAGATAGTGACAGAGAGAGGTGAGAGAGTGACAGAGAGCGAGAAAGAGTTAGAGTGAGAGAGAGAACGAAAGAGATAGAGAGAATGACAGATTATGCTTGCACCGCCCTTTAAAAATTGCAGCAATCATTTCTACCTCAACTCTATAACCATTGTGACGTGACATCCACGCCAATTTCCCCCTCACATCCTTCCCACCTTCTCCCCCCAAATGGGTGGGTGTACGTGGTTGGGGCCCGGAATTTAATTTGGTGTCCTCACTCGAGAAGCCCTCAAAAGAGGCATTCTGTTTCCTTGAAATGTTGCACATTGCCCCCTTTCGCCTCGTCCGGCTGCTCACACCCAAACGCCAATTTAGCAAGGGAGAGAAAGAGCGAGAGATGGGGAAAGGGGTCCAATTTAGGGCCCGGTTGTGGGGTGTGTGTGCCCTTATATGGCCAGTTGGCCACTATTAGATGTGCACGTTCGTGATAAACTTGGGTGTGTAATTTTGGGATAAGAGCAATTCTTCAGTTCTCCAAATTTACTACTGTATCACTGTATCTTCAATATCGCAAAAATTCCTTAAATTCTGTCTCCTCAAAAACATTTGCTAGATTGTTCTGTCAGTCACAAAAATCCCATGAAAAAATGTGTCAAGCGTCCACTCTATAATTGTTTGGTTGCCCCCTTCATCGGCTACGCGCCAATTCTATAAACGCTGTTCTGTTTATGTCATTTTCAACACCCGCAGGGGGTCAGTTTTCAAAAAATCGAGCCTTGTTTTTGATGGCTGCATTTTGCATACATGTTGGCCAATAATTCACAATCTTCAAAATTTTTATAAGTTTTTTTATGAACTTTCCATATCTAAAAGTGTAAAAAAATTATGCAAAAAAATTAGCTTCCCCGCGCTAAACCTCCCCCCCCCCCGCTAACAGATCAGTACGCATCTTTCTAGCCCTCAAGCTATCTTTCTCTAACTCCCCCTTTCCTTCCCATACTCGGTGTCAGGAACATGCAACTGTCACTTTAGGGCCGGGCTGAGAACTGGTTTTTTTGAGGCACACGAGGATGGGGGGGGGGGGGAGGAAGAGCATCTTCCCCCGTGCCGAACTCTTCCCCCTTGTGTTCTCCCATCATTCTCTGGCGGGTCGAGAAAAGCTTCCGTGCCCCGTCCCAAAACGACGATGCGCACAAGCAGCACAGCTATTACTCCATTCAGTCACTCCATTATGCCATGTTCATCCCATGCTTTCGCTCGTCTACCGTAACCGTTTTTGGGGGGGTAGAGGTCGTGCAGTGACTTTCTGGCCAAGTTTTGGATCTTGGTAGCGTTTCCCCGAAAGTTTTTTATAGTTTGCATCGCTTAAAATTTTTTGTTACCGGATACTTTTGCTTTGAAAATCATTAGTTTTTTGTTTTCAAGAACTCGATTTTTTGGATTTTCTTTCATGTTTATACAACGTTTCCGGTGCAGAAAGAATGGTTCGTTCCGTCTTGTCGGTCTGTATCTCTCTCTCTCTCTCTCTCTCTCTCTCTCTCTCTCTATCTATCTCTCTATCTCTTTCTGTCTAAACATCTATCGAGAATGACACGCTTATCGCGCATTGGCTAGATAAACACTGGATCGTTGGTTGGATCTGTGTTGGTTGGCCCCCGCTTCAGACCATCGTTTCCTGCATCGAACAAACTTCGATATCGATTGATTTCTCAATGAGTTAGAAGTTAGAAGAAGTTTTTATCTGCAAATCGATTTGACCTCTTGCCCTTTAACCTAGACTTTTTCGCTTTTTGTGTCTTGAATCTCTTTAACAATAAAAATTCTTGTGTGTTTTCTATTCTCATTGGCCTCACTTCGACCAAAGTTTTTCGTAGTCTTTCGGAAACTCGGGCTAACTGAAGGCCTTTTCCTAGGGCGGGGTCAAAACATGGCACTTTCGTCAACTTTGAGTCGGGTTGCGAAAGTCTAGAAAGCGGGTTTCTGCACCAAAAAAAAACGTTTTTTTGAGTCAGATTATACACACTCTTGATTCCCCATTCATAGCGCTTTTAACCCTAGATATTCTACGTTCACAATCCATTTAAAATCCAAGGCGGTGCTGGTCTAATTGCGGGGGGTTTAAGCAGGGGGAAATGAAATTTTGCCGATAATCCCGTTCGGTCCTATAAGGAAGTGTAAAATTTTTTATAGTATTTTTTACTGTTTTTAGATATAAAAAACTCATCAAAGAATAATAAAAAATTTCTCCCCCCCCCCGCTAGCAGTCCAGCACCTCCAATACCCCAAGGCTGCGGTCTCGACAATAGTGTGGACTACGCCCCGATGCTTGATGACGTTTCAGCTGCCAACACGCCTCGTACGGAGCCATCGGCACCTCGGACCCCCAAAAAAAAAC